GGCCAGTGTGCCTATTTGCCTAAACCGATTGACGTACATTCACTGTGGCTGGATTCGTTCGTATTCTGTATGGCGTTTACACGCATTGACATGCGCGACTTCGGTCGATGTTTGTGCTTACGCACTAACAAGGGGCTAAGCCTCTTTTACTGGTTCGCCAGTTGTTTTGCTGTGGACTACGGTCCAGTTCCCGAATTAGCATTCCCTTCGGGGGGAGTGCATCAAAATGGTTGGCACTCACCGTGCACGGCGTGTGTGGGGCCGTGTACCTCCCCTACATTATTTTAAATAAATGTAGGAGAGCGAAGCCCTTGTATCGGGTATTTTGTATAAATATATTTTGAGCCCTTTCCGAGCGGGAAGGGATAATTAATAATGTAAACCTGATGCAAGTGGAATAGGGACGTTTTATGTTCTTAAGCTTTTTCGAGCCCTGTCTTCGTGAACGGGGTTCACTTAGCTTATAAGGCACTACCAACAGCTTTCAATTGCTCTAGTGAATATTCATTCTTCCAAAAGACACCTAAAAGAACTAAGTTACTAAACAAACACAACGTAAATAAGGGTCCTAACTAAGACGATCACGCCAAAATATTACAAACGGCCTATTATTAAACCTTTAGAAAGATCATTTAGAAAGATCAAAACATATTTTATTTATCCTAGACACATATATATAATTTTTATCGAAAGGGGTAAATTAATTATATCTGATATATTTATTATTATGAGAGAGGGGGGTAGAGCGTTACAATATCAAAGACGTGTTGCAAACTGTTAATATTCATTGCTATGCAGACGACAGCACTGGTGATGCTTTATACACCGGCCGTGCTAATATTTCTCGGGAAAACATCATCGAGTACAGGGACAAACTTGTGTCTGAAGTCGAGACAAAGTCTCGAACTGGGAGGGACTAGATCTAATCCAGTTCAATCCCCTGAAGACACAAATTTGCTTGTTTACCGGTAAAAAGAACCCCTTCGTCGTATCTCTTGAGTTTCAAAGCACTCCTCTTGTTGCCTCAGCCAGTATCGGAATCCTCGGCGTCGACATAACGAGTGACGTGCAGTTTCGTGGTCACTTGGAAGAGAAAGCGAAATTGGCCTCTAAAAAGCTTGGCGTGCTCAGCAGAGCGGGGCTGTATTTCATGCCGGCATATCGCCTGCAACTTTACAAGGCGCAGGTTCGTCCACACATGGAATACTGTTCCTATCTCTGAGCTGGGGCTCCCCAGTGCCAGCTCCTCCCGTTTGATCGCATCCAGCGCAGAGTTGTTCGAATCGTTGGCGAGCGAGCTCTTTCCGATCAGCTTGATTCACTGGTACCGAGAGGAGATGTTGCATCTCTGCGTATTTTATCGCATTTACCTCGGGGAATTGTTCAGACTAATTAAAGCCGCACAATTCACAATTCACCATCGCACATCGCGACTAAACACGCGATACCATCCGTACCAGCTGGATGACTGGCTGGATGATGATGTTCACCACTGTGCGATTTAAAAGAAGTTTTCTTCCTCGGACAAATTCCTTGTGGAATCGACTACCACCAGAGATTTTTCCTTACCGATACGACTTAAAGACCTTCAAGAAAAGAGGCTACTCGTTTTTGAAAGGCCGGTAACGCATCTACAATTCCCCTGGTGTTGCAGTTGTTCTTCCGTGACGGTAATCACTTACCAAAATTTGAGCCGTACGCTCGTTTGCCCCCTCTTCTATAAAAAAAAACACATCATTCGATATGACATAGTTTACGTCATTTTTGAGATATCTAATGTTGAAAGAAATGTTTTACTGCAATCAATTTCAAACATTTTATTGATGTAGGTATGTATTTTAATTAAATAAATATATTGTTAGTTATATAAACACAGTATTTGAAATAGTACGGTACTTTGTTAAGTACCGTACTATTTTAAACACTGTGTTTATATTATATTTATACGTAATTTAAAAATGTAACGAATTTATACAGGATATACAATTACGTCTACTCAATAATGAAATTAGTGTTGGTAATTTCCTGGACATATTGCAGAATTTATGTTGTCTGTTGACGATACTGTTGCTGGTTTCCCGGTCTTTCAACAGACGCAAGTTTGGTTTTGGCCTTTGTTCTTTATATTCAAATATCATCTATTTTAATTGAAATTATTCATAATTCTGAGTTAAATATTACTCTCTATTATCTATTCTATTGTTTTCTTTAAATTTTCTTCATCAAAAGACTAAACTACAGCTGCAGTCTTCAATCTAAATATGGCAACGTCTAAAAGTTTATATTTTTCTTTACGAAATAAAACGAATAAGATATTTGGTCTCTATTTTTATTTTTATTTACAGCTTATAATATAGTAAACTAATTAAATCCATAAAATTTACAAGTGCCATACAATATTTTTACACAACACATGTTTTCAAACTTAGGTACAAAGTACTATCGCTCTGTGAGTCATAAAATGGGTCTCATATTACAGAGCTCTATTGTAAAAAGGTGTGATTATTGCTAGCCAATTTACTCCTTAGCATTTTAGTATATGATAAAAGGAGAGAGAAATATTTCAACGGTTAAAAATAGCGCGAAATGTGTCTTACTGGTCTGCGCTGGTTTCCCGGTGGGTCCACAGTATCGGCCACAATCGGCCATCTTGATATCCGCCGGGATACCAGCGTGCAACAGACGAAGGGTTATTATTATTTAAAACAAGGAATTTTAATTTGGTTTAAATGCAATACGTAATGTGATTTTTGTTTAATTTTGTGGTTATTAAAAATGTATCAATAATATGTATCGTATGAGAATATATTTTCTGTTGAACTGTATATTAAGAGTGGAAAGGCGGAACAACAACCAAAAGTGAATTCCGATTATCCACCCCGTCTTGGGTGGATTTCTTAGGGTGGATAAATGGAATAACCCTTTGTCATATGGTTTGGTAATGTCGACCAAAATTGTCCTTGACTGTGCCCGGTCCATCAGCACAATATCAGGCTTATTCGCAAGAATAGTCCTGTCTGTGATGATGGCCCGGTCTCAGTAGAGCCTGGCGCGGTCATTTTCAAGCACGGCTTCCAGCAAGTAGTAAGGCAGTTTTCGATCCATGAGACCGTATTTCAGAGCGATCTCTTGGTGGAGAATTCTGGCTACTAGGTTGGGCCTGTGCAAGTACTTAGAGTTAGAAAGCGCCGAACAACCAGAGATGACATGCCTAAGTGACTCACCGGGATGGCGACAAGTTCGACAGATATCGACGGTGCCATCCGTTAGCATGTATCTCCGATAGTTGTTGGTCTTAATAACCTGATCCTGTATTGCACGGACAAAACCCTCGGTCGAGGGTCACCAAATTGTAGCCAGTAGAGGGAGGTAACCGTGTCTACGAAAGGGCTCATGAAGAGACTTGTAGAACCTTCCGTGAGGTTCCTTCTCCTTCCATGCGGTCTCCAGTAGGAAATGCACTGTACTGCTGAGTCTTGCCATTGCTCGTTGGCTAAAGATAGAGGCGTTAGCCCTTTATTACACGAAATGACGTCCCTGTAAAATGGGTCATCCGATCTTGCCAAGAAATGATTACGGAGGCTGCACACTTCGCGATTATGCATGGTGAGAGCGCTCAAAAAGCTGCGCCCACCATGTTTCAGCGGAAACTACAGACTCATTACTGACTATCTCAGGTGATGCATCCAAAGCGATCAGTTTGGCCTGAGTCGACATGAGACCTGCCAAAGGTATACATGAGAACAGGCATGACCCAACGGTTATATGCGTTTGTCTTATTAACAACCGACAAAATGCTGTTAAGAACTTTTGGAAAGCGTGCATAAAACACATCGCAAATTGACTGTACCATGTCCGACTCATCGACACCTATATTCTGTGACATACCTAGGTATCGGTATGTTTCTGCCTTGGAAAAGGTCATTATGTCTTATTGGTCTTAGGTCTTATGGGTCTGCCAATGCTTTTGCGATACGGTCCTCAATTCTTTTTCTCCAGGCTGGGTTGGCGCTACTTTATCTAGTAGCGTCCAGGCGTGGGAAACTTGGTGCTAATAATACGGCAAACTGCCAGTGCGGCGCCAAAAATAATTGAGTCCGTCTCGCAAAGGTCCCGGCTGGCTTCTAAATAGGAATATAATAATAATTCTAATAGCTTTCTAATAGGCTCATAATAGGGCGCACGACAGTCTAATGTCACTTCTTTAGGGGTATGTGGGGAAGTCGCGGTCGATTTTCGAGAGGAGCACTGCGCGTTTCCGACATCGCCTCTTCCAATACGCCCTTCATTTTCTTTAGTTCGTGGGAGAGTATGTGGGAATCACCCACAACTGGAATATCCACGGCGGCATCCACGTATGCAAGTTGCTCTGCAAGTTGTGGCGCCGCATCCACAGCCGTAGCATTTGATGAGAGAACAGCCTCACGTCGTAGTCGTTCGAGTACGGCGTCACCAAATATTTTGGAGCGCACGATGTACCGAACTCGGTCTGCCAGGTTTTGCTCAGTGACGGTTAGAGATGATTCCAACTCTGCAAAAAAGCGATGCATTCAAGCCCGATACACAAACCTTCCAGTTTCTTCCCCTTTTGCACTAAAGTACGCTCACAACGCGTTTGCGTTCATTATTTGCGACTAACGCATGCGACGTGCTTCCAGGTTGCTGAGTCCAAGAGTACTCAGCCGACAACAAGCCTTCTGGTGGGGATTATGGATGCGGGGGGCTACTAGGCGGTCTTGCAGTGCCCCAGGCTCAGCAAGCGGCCCGCAAATTGCGGGTGTTTCCCGGCCTTTTAAAAAGGAGTAGCTTCTGTTTTTGAAGGTTTCTAAAGAAAAAGAAAGCCCCGAAGATTTCTTCGTCGATTCTACAAAGAAGTTGTGCGAGGAAGAAAACTTCTGATAAATCTCACAGTGGTGAACCGCCAATCATCCAGATGGTATGAATTCCAAATTTTGTTGCAATTTGCAATGTTGAAATTTGGTCTAACTACTAGTACTTACCGTGCCTTCTCCTTGGGACGGTAATAAAAACCCTGTCTGCATACACCTCCATTCCAATCGGCACATTGTTGTATTGGATGAAGAATTTGTCTGAATCGTTTATTTCTGTATTGTTCTGTGTACCCACAGCCTTCCTCTCGTAGTTTGTGTCTGTATTATCTGAAAGAAATTAACTTTTAAATTCATATCCTCTATATTCTTGTGGCGGCAACTTTGCGGAAATAAAAAGATGTTAAGAATGAATTAGGTAAGATCCACGCAATAAAATAAAATGATGTCTTTTACATGCATGGTTTTTGGAGCACCTCTCACAAAACCCGTCACCGCTAATCGTACGTGATGGTAGTATGGTCATCTCAAGCTTTGCCGCCCTATAAAACCAAATCTACGCATAGGACAGAGACATAAAAACTAAATCGTATATTACAACTAATATATTTGGAAAAAAATAGCAAACAAACTTTGGCAATAATTAGGATCACTTCGAAAAATCTGCTTAAATAACTAACTACACTAAACCATACTAAAATCGACCAAAATATTTATTGCCTATAATGTCAACTGTCAAAATGACGTCGATAAAGCATCGCTCTTTTGACCCTTTATAATTTGATAGCTATCGTATCATATATCCATTTATGCAAACAAGGCTGTACTTTTTGAGTGATAAGAAAGTGTCCATATTAACCGAATGACCATATTAGCCTCACGTACTATAGTGTTTTTTAACTGAAAAGGAGGATAATGTTTTTCGAAAGTACGTTCTTTCTTCTCTAGTCAAAGATGTATATATGTTTGTCTATTTTTTGTTACGCTCTGTAGCCTTAACTGTCCTATATAGTCAATGATTTCAAAAGGAAGGATAGGCCCATCTAAATATTTTACTCATAACTTTTTCATACAAGAAAAAGTAGCACATCTGTCATAATACAAACGTCATATCAAAACACGACGTAACCAGGGTCGGATTTCGTAGTATAATTATCCTAATTGTACCATTATTTCTTAGTTTGTAGTAAATAGTATCGTAATAATACTAAGTGAAAATACCATAATTTTATCTAAAGGTCGACCTGTAATATTATTGGGTCCTTTTACATTTTAATATTAATCCTACGATATCAAGAATTTCTGTATTGTACATGAGTGCCGCGTTTTTTTAATAAAATTAGAATTAGCTCCCTTTCTGGTCAATCGATGCATTTACGTTGCATCCTTGACACAACTATAATGAGGGGCTACCACGATAAAAACTCTATGCTTCAGAAGCAATCGGTTTGAAAACAGAATTTCTTGAATCTGAAAATCTGATTCATAAAAAAATATTTTATGAATCAGATTTTCAGATTCAATTAAGCAGATGTGGTTTATTTTGTGCTCTTTTCGTTTTACCCTTATTGAATATAAAATATATTAGGTACCAATATTTAAGATTTAACTTACACTAAGTTCTTTAGACAACAATTAAACAGAAATAAAAATAAAACCGTCAAAAAACGAAACGTGGCCTGGGCTAATCTTGGTAACGTAACTAAACTAACTGTAAAATAAAAGTTTAAAAATGTGTTTATATAATAATTTAATTGTAACAAAATTAATATAAGGTTATTTACCGATGATACTATATCCCATGTTTTTTTTTAAATCTTTGTATCGTAATTTTTGCATTCTTTTACCACGGAACTAGACATATTTATGACAGGCAAATCTGTCCTGTAGTAATAGGTATATAATAGGGTGGAACGAAAAAAAAAACAGAATTTTATTTTGGAATAGTTGTATTATGTTGCTTAATGACATTAGTTAGCTCCATTTAAAATATAAATATTATCAGACAGCGGTAAAAGCCCCCGCCAAGACACAAAACATTTACAAAAATGATAATTTAGGGGCTATTTACACCCCCCCGAACGGGTTCCCGCCTTGTCGTGGCGGGGGGCTTAGTAGCCGTGGCTTGGTCTCCCACGGTGAACAAAGAGGAACCCACGTGGCTGGCCCGAGGTGAAGGGCCGGCCTGAGGTGGCCGCTCCAAGTGGGCTTGGGGAGCCCACTTCGGATGTGTGCTGGTGGACTGCAGCGAGTGGGGACTCGCGCACCCTCCCTCTACCGCTGCAGCCGAGGTGGAGTCGCGGAGGAAGAGGAGTGTTGGTATGGCGATGCGCCACTCGCCCTATCCTTCGCGACTCAAACGGGGCCGCACCGTTGATGCGGTGGTGGTGGGGCTGCGGGGGGAGAGGATTGTCGGTATTGCGAGGCGCCGCTCTCCCTACCCTCCGCAGCCGAATCTTGGTTGGCGGCGGAGCCATAGACCAGATCCGCCGCTGGGGTCGGGAACGCTAGTACTTCTAAGCGCTCGTTTTTCCTGGCCCCATGGCCTTTGTGCATTGGACGCGGGGGCGTCTGTTGCACAGACGTAGTTGGAGGCCGTGGAGGAAGGCGCGCCATGTGTTCTGGTGCGCCTTACTTGGGAAGGAGAACGGGGAGGAATTTTCCTCTCCCGAGGAGGTGCTGCCATGGGGCGGCAGGCGCTAGAAGGGGGCCGCGGATGTGTGCGAAAGCGTTCCCGTAGCCCTGCCAATATGCGACAAAGGTGGAACACCATGGGGTTTTAGTCGGTGCGAGTCCGACATAACCCGTCCTTGCCCCCGCGAGGCGGGTATGCGTAGGCATTTCCCCATGCAAAAAAAAAAAAAAAAAAAGGGGCTATTTACACAGCCTACAAAATAGCACAGAATTTATTACAATTCGTTTTTATTCAAAAAAATATTCAAATATAGTAGTTAACAAACTGTTGCAATTAAACATTTAATTATTTTAATATAATTTGGCGCTGGGACAGAGGAGAATAGTGCGGGACGGAGCGGGGGGCGGCACGTGACAATCTACGAATTGCAGTGTTTTGTTTTAACTAGTGTCGATAATTGTCTTAATGTGAAAGGTCGCGCGTCAATTATTTTCACGAGTACTTATTAATATACGTTTTTAAGTGTATTAACATGACTTCTACGAGACAAAAGTTAAAATGTCCAATATTTGGTGAAAGTGCAGAGTTGAAAGAGAATATTCTTCTTACGTATGAAAATGTGATGAAATTCTATGAATGGGTACGACAAGACTTAAAAGTAAGAAATAACACAAGAAAAGAACCTACGTTTTTGGAAATTGCCGAAATAGTTGCAACGAAAATCGAAGAATTGTGGATAAAATCTTCTATTCCAATTGTCACACACAAACGAGTTTTACAGTTAATAAAAAGTTATCACTCAAAATGTCATAATTTGAAAAAGTATTTGTAGAAACTTAAGGAAGAAAAGTTAGAAGAGTTTAGAGTACAAAGTAGAAAGCTTTTTGACATAGCTGCATGTAAATTTTCAAGCATTTTCATTTTCAAGCAGGTAAAAGTACTACGGACCTTTTATGTAAATTTACAGATGAGGTAAACGAGCATTTGAACCTTAAAAAATGTGTTCTGGCCTTGTTTATTGATTTTTCTCGTGCCTTCGACACGCTGCAACATCAACTTTTAGTCCATAAACTGGATGATTGTGGTATCCGGGGTCCGTTACTTAATTGGTGTAGAAATTACCTCCAAAATCGTACATTTACGGTTAAATTAAATAACGCATTCAGTGACCCTAAGAATGTGACAGAAGGCACGGCCCAAGGATCAGTACTTGGCCCGTTGCACTTTTTATCTTATGTCAACGAGATGAATAACTGTCTGAAACACAGTTCCTGTTACCAATTCGCAGATGATACGTGTCTTCTCGTTTCGGGTAAGGATATCTCAAATGCGTGTAATGCTCTCCAGGCCGATTTAGACATGATGATACGATGGTGCCATGACGTTGGTCTAGTGTTAAATGCCAATAAAACCAAACTCATGATTATCAAATCTCCGTATATGAGGTATCCTACTCCAAAACCATTAATTGCTCATAATCACGACTGCCTCCATCAACTAGGAACTTGCCAATGCCCTACAATCGAAGTTGTGACCTCACAAAAATACCTTGGCCTTATAATTGACTCAAAGTTTAACTGGAACTACCACATTGAACAAGTGTGTAATAAGTTGCGTCAGTTTCTAGCCAATATAAAAATCCTAAAAAATCGCATACCCTTCAAAGTAAGACTTATGCTTTACAACTCCCTGGCTGAATCTTATATTCAGTATGGCTTGTCGAGCTATGGTCGGACGTACAAATCATATTTAAAACAGATCTATGATCTTCAACTTAGTATTCTCAAAAATATTATATCCCCTAATATACGTATCCTAATTGGTGATGATGAAAATGCGATTTTTAAACATTGTAAAATCTTACCAGTTTATGACCAAATTAAATTCATGTTATTAAAAAAATATTTCTTTTGCGACAGTTTAAAATCATATATAGAACATCCAGTACGTACGCGCGCTATAACACAAAACCGACTCCGGCATATCACTGCTAATAATGTGTACGGGCAACGGACTGCTGCTTATCAGGTACCGCATTTAATAAATAACTTACCTTTCGATGTACGTGAAAAAGTATCACAACAAAACATTAAAACTAAACTCAAAAACTTTTTCCTATCTAAATTATAAATACATACTATATCTACTTAATAATAATAATATACTACCTGCCTAGCTCTTACTTTTACTTTTACCTTGCTACTTCTGACTTTAACTAAGTTGTTAACTTACCTTTTTAGTCCTTATATTCTTGTTACACCTTCTACCTACTCATATACCTAACTATTGAATTAGACTGTGTTTTGTACATAATTCGCTTACTTGAATTTAATTATTTAGCATCAAGGTAAACCTCTGTGGTTTTTAGATGTTAATTAAGCCTATATTGGAATGTAATTTTTGTTTGATCTGATAAATAAATAAAAAAAAATGTAAAAAATATATAAGCTGTACCAAAAGAGGAACAAATATTTTTAGAAGACCAAAGCTCTAAGTACTTAGTTGATGAGTCGAACGTCTGCGTACGAACAGACTCTTTAAGATTGATTCATTATTAAAGCCACCTCCAAATCGGTGAGACGTATTAATTTAGTTGTAGTTTAGTTTTTAAAAACTCCTTTCGACGTTCCCGAAATTTGACTGGCGCAGCCGGTAGGATTTGCTCGTGCTGTGCCTTTCTTTCTTTCGAGCTGTG